AGTAATGGTCTACTAATACTCATGTTCACTAGGAATATTACTTTCTCCAAAACAATCATTTTTAATTTAACGTGTTTTAAGAAACTTTATAAAATATACCTTAAAAAAGTTCAAGTAAAAAAAGAAAAAAACCCAAAGAAAGCTAAACGCTGGGTTTTGATCAATTTTCTCTGTAAAGTATCATCACAAAAGGACAGAAGTGACGCTGACTAGGACAGCCAGGGGCATCCAAATGGGGAGGTGGGGAGGTACAGCCTCCTCTGGACCACCCAGCGCTAAACCTCGCGCTCAGGCCTGTAAGAGCTCGGAAGGGCAGGACTTGCCAGACCTCCCGCACTACAGCTTCTAGTCTGCAGGTAGCTCAGACATTCTACCCTGAGGAATTTACTGCAATCTTCATAGTACTAGGAAAGCACCACATTTATTGTTTCCACAACTCTCCCCCCTCCTCCATTTTCTACCCCCATGTGGCTGTCCACAGCTGCTCCTGTGTGAAGCGGATGAGAGGCGGGGCTGCTGACAGTGACAAGGGTTGTGGGCCACACTGCTCAAGGAGCATCTACAATAGGAAGCAAACTTAGCATCTTTTAGCTGAAAGAGGTCTACCAATAAGGGAGACAGAAACTAAGAATGGTCTACTACGTCGATTCTAAGAAGCTCTTACAGTAGTTCATACCCAAAAAGAGGACATCCCAGGGACCACATTAGCCATGGCAAATCCATCAATTTAAAACCAATTTTAAGGGGGGAAAAAGTGGTATTTTCATGAGGATCATCTACTATAAGAAAGGGAAGAGAAGTGATATGGTGAAAATATCTGGATCAAAATATCCAGAAGAGGATTTTGCTCCACAGAAATGTCAGAAACCACTCCTTCAGATAATACGCTAAACAAACCTTAAAGAAATTGCACTGTTGTATTAAAAAAACAAACAAAAAACCTAGACCCAACTGAGGGTGCATCAGTAACCATTGCACAAATGTGAAAGTGAACCAAATTGTCTGTGTCTTTCTTCTTCAAAGTATGAACGTGGCCTCACGGAGAATTCAACTCCATAGAAAGTGAGACATGACAGAGCTATACGTATATGAGCAATGAACCTGAAAACAACTGAAATACATTTCCTCAGACTCACTTAGGAAGAAAGACAAAGACAGAAAACGATCCTTTATAAGTAGACAGGAAAATGTCGAAGCATTCTGAATTTTATGACAAATAAATTCATTTAATAAAAATTTTAGAAATAATTACAATCATGAGAATACATGGTCCAAAATGAATTAAATTTACAAGTAGTTTCTAATTAGCGGGTCCCTGATTGAGGAAGACCCTAAAGAACTTCAGTACTCTGGAAAGAAAATGCTAATTCCTAGACCTCAAAAGGCAGGGACAGCTCATGAGTGAACAGGGAAAGAGCTAATGTGACCACTCCTGTTTCTGCAGGACAGTCAACTAGGCTTCTTTCATCTAGCCAATGCCAACAGTGCTCTCATGCAACTGTTCTACCTTCTTGTGGTTTAAATGCAAAACCATTTCATCTTCAAGATCTGATAAATACCCAAATTACCAAGTTCATCTTTCTCCTACCCCCTATCGCTGCCATCCACTAACTCCCCATCCAAAAAAATTACTGACACATTAAAAACCACTGTATTAATCTCTAAGGGCTGCTACAACAAATTATCATAAACTTGCTGGCTTTAGGAGCACAAAAATCTTCCCATCTCACAGTTCTGGAGGACAGAAGTACAAAATCAAGATGCTGGCAGGGGTGGGACTGGGAGGGTTCCTTCTGGAGGCTTCTGGCTTCTGGTGGCTGCCAGAGATCCCTGGCCTTCCTGGACTCGCGAAGGCCTCTCTCCAATCTCTGTCTTCACAGGACCTTCTCCTGCTTCTCCTCTTCTTATAAAGACACTTGTTTTAAGATTCATTCAGATAATCCAGAATGAGGTCATCTCAAGATCCTTATCACTTTATCTGCAAAGACCCTTTATCCAAATAAAGTCACACTCACAGGTTTCAGGCTGACCTATCTGCAGGGGGTTGGAGGTAGGGAGAAGGTCATTCCACCAGTCACCGTCTTTCTAGGGTTAGTTATATCCTAATTACCAATAAGTGCTTGCTTCTTTAAAGAATTTCAGAAACACACCACACCATCCTTTTTCTGAACCTTGCTTTATTTCCAATATTATTTATTTGACAATTCTTTTCAACTGGATCCATTTCCACAGAAATCCTTCTTTGAGTGCTTTTCATTAGTCACTGTGAACAAGACTGGCATGGTAAAACAGGCAGGTATCAAGTGCTTTTGCCTGCAAGTAGAGCATTTTTGTGGACTACCAAAGTAGAAGCTTTTTCCTGAGTCTTACACATTGACCCAGGTAGTCACCAGTTTCACTGAATTGTATTTTGAGTTCTCCTTATCCATCCTCATCAGGATAAACATTCTTATAAAGACAAGGTTAAACATACAATTTTAACCTGTCCAGGCACAAACGTGCCTGAAGTGTTCACACACTGCTTTTCACTTTTACATTGTCCCTGTTATTTAATTCATAAAACTAATAAGTTATCAACATGCACATCTGAAATGAACCCTACTTTCTGAAACAAAGACCTCATGAATTAGGAATACTTCTAAATTCTCTCATCATACAAAAGAACCAAAGTTTCAGACTGATTGGTTGAGGCAAGGTTTCATTATCAATGTCAGGGAAAGGCTTTCTTAAGAGAGTCTTTCCAAAAAAGCAGCTCACATACCTTTTTTGTAGTGACAGATAAAACATCTCAGCTCTATATTCAGGCCACCCACTAACCCCAACCTTTGTCCTGCTTCCCAGACACACACCCAGCTAACATGAAGCCTGGGAAGCCCTGCCCACTCCTCCCATGGGGTCTGACCACATGCCCGTGCTCTTTGTGGGTGTGCACAATTATACAACCACATAAAAGTTTTAAAGTATCAGTGCAATCCTTCAAGAAAAAATGTGACTGATAGAATAATGTAAAAATTAAGAATTGATACAAAAAAGCAAGGAGACACCAGAACAAGAGAGCAACAGGCGGCAAACCCAGCATCTTCTCTACCTAAGCTAAAAAAGCACATTTTGAATACAGACTTTGCTACCAAAGCAAACAACACAGTATCAGTCTCTTTATCCAAAATGCTGCCTTTTCAATTAACACCCTTTTGCCTTATGCCCTGTAGTTGAGAATAAATCAAGATGAGTGAGAAGAGTTCATACCTCCACCAGGAATAATTGCCAACTTTGTTTCAACCAAGCCCATTTTTGCAGAGGAAGCTAAAAAGGAAAGAATAAAATTAAGTAAAATGCACATCATCAGATTCCAACATTAAGACTTGAAAAAGTTAAGTAAAATCAGCTAGAAATATTCTGTTTACTAATTAAACCTGTGTCACAAATCTTTTTAAAAGTCACTTCAGAAGGAATTCAGTTATGGAAATTAGTAAACACTATCTAAATGATGTATATTAAGACATTCACATAACATTTCCCATTAAAAACTGCTCAGCAGTGAATGAATTTTCGATGCAGAAAAACTAAGGTTATAACTACATAATTTGACCTGATAGTGCCAACTCATGTTTGAAGGCTGAGCCCCCATTAATTATTCAGGACGGGGAGAGAGACTGTGTCTGACAAACAGGAATCTTTAGCTGTCTGAAGAGTCCTCCAAATCAAACAGCTTAATATAACATATCAGATATGGCAGCTTTTCAGGACCAAATCTCTAGTTACTTTTGACAAATGTTTTACTGTTCTGACAGCTGGACAGGGATCCTCTTTCCACGTTGTGTTTTTATGGCTACTTTAAAATATCTTAATTATTTCTTTACTTGCATATCAAGATGTTCTTGGACCACCTCCCATATCCTAATTCCCAGAATCTGTACTCTTTCAGAAATGGACTACATGTACCTTAGCTTTTCCATTTAAAACTCATGATTTCAGACAAGTAAGTAGAGATCTGAAATAAAGTGGAAAGCGGGGAGAGTCCACAAGGATTAGCAGCTACAAATCCCAGGAAACCGTCAAAAACTATTGAAAACACAATTATATTGGCTCTATTTTTAACAGGCAGCTGCTTCAGGAGTGATGGTGTGAGCCAGGGGAAGAATGGCAACAAGTATGCTGCCTGCTTTATCCAGTCCTTGGTCCCAGGGCCCCTTAGGTCACCCCAATGTGACCATATGGTGGCAGCGGACAGGGCTCTGCCAGGGTAATAGGAGTGGAGGCCAATGTGCCAGCATGCCTGGGTTCAAATCCCAGCTCAGCCCCTGATTCTGGGCCATCAGGCCTCCTCTCTGTGCCCCAGCTCCCTCAAGCACCCCACAGAGTGCCTCGCACAGAGGGCTCTGAGGCCAACTGTGTGATGTAATACATGTCAGGGGCTTAGAGCAGGGCTGGGCACCGGGTCAGCACTCAGCACATGGCCAGCACTGTTCTCATTATTGTTCTCATTATTATTTTCATAATCGCCTCATCCAACTCACAGGAAACCAAGCAAGAAGTAAGTGAGCCTCAGAGAGATTAAGTTATCATTACTGTAGCTGACAAGAATTAAGTACTTGGACTGGGCACAGGCCACAGATTAGCTCCTGTTGTTTCCCTCATCTCAGAGGAGGAAATGGATCTGAAGAGGACAGAGCCAACGAGTCAAATTCACTTCTGTCTGATCCAATTCCTCTTCTCCTCCCCGCCTGCGAAGGCTAACACGAGACTATCAAATTGTTTTCTTAACTGGGAATCTTCAATATTTCATTAAGCCCAACCAAAGGGTGACTTCTACTAAACATTCTATTCAAAAACAGGAAAAGAATAAAATATTTGGAATTATCTGAAGAGTAAGCACAAACTTCATTTCTCAAAGGATTACTTCTCACCTGCTACACGTATATCACATGCTAGTGCCAGTTCAAGGCCGCCACCCAAAGCAAGTCCATCTATTGCTGCAATTGTTGGCACTGGAAGATTAGCTGAAATAGAAGGAAAGAGTTTATGTTTCTTCAAGATCGTTACCTTACTATGTGATTTATTTTAGACCTTTTTGTGTGAATTTATTTTTATTTTTTTTGTAAGATTTTATTTATTCATGAAAGACAGAGAGTGGCAGAGACACGGGAAGAGGGAGAAGCAGGCTCCCTGTGGGGAGCCCAATACAAGACTCTATCCCAGGATCCGGGATCATGCCCTGAGCCAAAGGCAGATGCTCAACCACTGAGCCACCCAGGTGTCCCGTGAATTTATTTTTAAATGGGATACTATATACAGACTTTTGTAGCCCTTTTGCCTTTAACAAAACAGCCATTTCCTTTGTTATTAGTCTTCAAAAACATGCAATGATTGTGTAGAGTTCCACCAAATAAATATGCAATAATGTCTTTAAATCTTCCGATATTGCTGAAATACCTGCATAAATATTTTTTGTTAAATTAGCACAATCACAGTTCTGATTTTGTCATCTTAGGACCTAAAGTCTTTTATGAAATGTGTGGTTCATACAAATTTCTACATGAAATGACTTAGGTATAAACTGCAAAACTCATGATCCTTTATGGGTCACTGTGGTACTCAGAATGACAATCTCATTCTTCTCAAACAACACAAAAGCTGACCAAGGGGCTTCTGGGGTACCGCCCACTAGTTCTATCACTGAGAACAAGGACAACAGGCCAGGCCACAGCTAGAAAATAATCCAACTTTATCAAATAGCCCACTTCAGATGGAAGAGGCTTTGAGAAGGTCCTGAGAACCAGTCCAAAAGCATGCCTGGAAAGGCATCAGCCAGCCAGAGCTCCAACCAGACTTTCTTAAGCCCAGAATATTATTTTAATGAGATTCTGTAAATTAGAAGACATAGATTTCATTTTTAAAAGTGGTTCAAAAACTGACTGGTTAATTATTCTGTGAAGCAGACTCCTCCTTATTAGCTTTATTTTTGACAATGGGAATGTGAAGCAAGGCTGGCCAAACTTACTACAGTATAAACAGAACTGGCACCATCTCTTAATTGTTCTGATAAAAAATAAGTAATAATCACGTGGCATGACGTACTGTAGCATACCCCAATGCTATGAGGGTAATCATACTGTAACATATAAATATAGCAAATCAATACGTTACATACCTTAAACTTACACAATGATATATGGTAATTACATCTCAATTTTTAAAAATAAAATATAAATTAGTAAATAGATAGAGTCATCCCTAAAAATCTCTTTCTTCAACAGGTATTCTAAAATAGGAAATTCCAGTCAGAGAGGTTCACCCTTTGACTCCTTTTAAAATACACAAATTTGTTGAAGTGCATGGAGTTTTATTCACACATGAAGGAATTTATCAGACTTATCTTAGGTACAAAGTCTGAAAAGGCTGGGAGGGAACACGTACACATACTGCCGCAGAAGACAAAAGCATTCCCAGAAAAGCAGGGGTGACGGGGCTATGGGACTGTCTGTACCTGCCCAAACATTCTGGGGGAGGTGAGGGCTTGAGAGGCCAGGCCTGACTCAAAGGTGCTCTGGGAGTGCACCTGACAGCACACCTGGTGAAAAAATAAACAGATCGCCACATTAGGGTCTACTGTCAGGAAATAAATTTAATGAAAAAATGGTATCTGGTTAACTTTATCTGACAAAAAAAAAAAAAAAAACAAAGATAATAAAGGAATATAATGGCAAGTTCATCTGAGAGGCTTCCAAGATCATCTCAAACCACAAGTCAAATGGAGTTACTCTGCTACCCACTCTCAATCCTTTCTTTCTAAGAACCTAGCAATGAAATGATGGTATTTCTAGACTCCTATGGTCTCCTGCCTCCCCAGTCTCATGTCTCTCCCATCAGAACCTCTCCCAAGGCTTCCTTTCAGCCTCGGCTCCCATCCTTCTAGGACAAGCTTTCTGAAGGAGAAGAAAGGAGAGACTGCCACTCACCCTGACCACAGAGCTCCAGCTCCACCCATCTCTCCCAGGCTGCTCTGGCTCTGCTTTCAGTGACACTGGGAGGCTAGCCCGTAACCAATGGCCACCACCCAGTCCCTGTTAAACTTGCTGCCTTTGATGATCAGACATTAGTGCCGGACACTCATCCATGAATTCCTCTTCATGTGTCTGGGGAATCCCTCTGTCAACTTTCCTGTCTTTCTTTCCACTTTCAGTTTATTTTTCAGCATTCCTCCCCTTCTAACAGAAGCTCTGCCAGGAATTCTCTCATTCCCACCCAGAACTTTCACCATATATAATACCAAGGATGTCCAAATCTCTGCCTCAAACAGAAACTTCACTCTCCACTGCATCTCTTTGACTCCCTGCTTATTTGGACATCTCCACTTAAATGCTTTGATGAGTTGATGTTCAAATCAACTTCCTGTCAGTCCTTCTATATTCTATTTCACACTCAGTAGTATCTCCTCCACCAAGTTACCCAAGATAGATGACCCAGAGTCATCCCAGATGTCCTCCTTTCCACAGGTCACAAATCTGCAAGCCCCCCTCCCTTTCCAACAGCCAGTCCTGGGGTCTTTCCTCATCAGCAAGAAGTCTCTACCAGACCTTCACCCTCGACTGGCCCCTTCCAATGCATCTTCCATATATCCTATAGGATAATCTTTCTAAAATGCAAATGGAATCCTGCCACTGCCCTCATTTACAAGTGTACAATGATTTATTCCACACCCAGGATAAAAATGGAGAAAACAATCAACATGGCACAGGAGACCCCCAAAAACTAGGTTCTGTCCACTCGCCTGACTTCTTCTCCAATCTCAGGCACGTACTCTATGTCCTAGCCCCCAACCACTTAAAGCACCTCCAGTTACTCTTCCATCCATGCCTGTGGATGAACTGCCCTCTGCCTGGCATGCCTAGCTAGCACCTAATTATCTTTCAAGGCACTGCTCCAAGTCCCTTCCTTTGCACTTCCATGGCACTCTGTACATGCTTTTCTATCAGAACATTTGCCACACATTCTGAAACAGAGATTAACACCACATCAGTGCTGGTCAGTAACATCCTTCTTACTACCCTGGGGCTGCTTCTTCTGTCCCTATTACATTAAACCTCATATCCTCCCTGCTTTTCTTTTTATTATGAACTTCTTTCACTTAATACTTTAAAGAAATAACATCAATGTATGTAGCCCAATGGAGCTACAGAAAAGATAAAGTATTAAGGGTTTCTGAGCAGGAGAGAACAGGAAGAGGATGGAGTTCTCTCCTTGCCATGGGAAAATGCAGAAGGCACTCACCAGCTACCTGCAGGAAGCCGGCTCTTCAGAGAGAAAAACCACAAAGGTGAGTTTAAGGATCTCTAAAATCTAACCCAGGTCTGAAACATAGACACTACTGAGGTCCAGTTTCTGAAAATTTCAACTCCTACCTAATACAGGTTGTCTCAAATTCTTTAGATTTTTTTCCTCTAAAATAAGAACAGATTTATAAAATGTCATTAAAAGAAAAAAAAGAGTTAATGCAGATAAAAAACACAAAATTGATTAGTAAATATACCCTCCCTTTCACTGCAAGAGGCGCTATAAACAGAGATTATGTTGATAAAATAAAATGATTGGGGACAGGGCATGCGCAACAAGCAGGTTTCAATTCCACCTGACCTGGAGAACAAGGCAGGACCTAAGGAGAAATAAACAAATCCAAACAAGCTGATCTGGGAGATGGGGGTGGAGGTGAAAGCTGTCCCATGCTCAAATTTTCTTAATCCTGAAGGTGAAGAATAAACACTTGCCCCCTATATGCTTATATTCTCTGGAAATAATGAGAATTATTTTTAAATTTGATAGTTAAAAACTTAAGAAACTTTCTCAAGGTGCTAGGTTTTTTAACATTACATCTTATGCAAAAAATATAAAATAAAATGACATGGAATGTAGGTTCCTTATATAAAATAAGAACAAGGAAAATAAGGTATCAATACTCTCAAATCATTATGCAGGTAAATTACTTGCTCCTTTCAAAGGCTGATTAACATAAATTAGCATCCATAAAGCAGTCTATAAAATTTTTCCTACTAAAAAATTATGTAAGCAGAACAGCTTAATTAGCATTCAATGAGTAATTAAATTTCAGCCATTTTACAATATTGTATATTCTGAAGTTCTAGTATGTCAACTGTATACTTCGATCAAAAAACATTTTTAAGGGCAGGCTGGGTGGCTCAGTGGTTTAGCGCCACCTTTGGCTCAGGGCATGATCCTGGAGACCTGGGACAGAGTACCACGTCGGGCTCCCTACATGGAGCCTGCTTCTCCCTCTGCCTGTGTCTCTGCCTGTCTCTCTGTTTCTCATGAATAAATAAAAAAAATCTTAAAAAAAAAACAAAACTTTTTTAATTAAATTTTTTTTTATCTTAAATTTTACGTAATCTCAAGCTTTCCCTGAAAGACGTTCTCTCTCTTAGCAAATTTTCTTCGGGAAAAGATGAGTCATCCCAAAGTATAAGCTAATTTCACAGTTACCTCATATGCTTGTTTTCACTTCCAGTACTTTTTCTGCTTGGTAGCACTTAATAATCTTAGTGGACTCAATATAACACACTTCAGAAGGGCAGATTATCCATCGCAAAGAACTGAGAAATATCAAAACGGCAGTTGTGTAAGATTGTGGCTGGATGACATGGGAGCTGCCAGGAGCAGAGGTTATTCCCAACAGCAAAAGGAAGAAATTATGACTCGGCATGTTACACAACCAACAGGATCAGATACTATTTTGAGTTTAGTACCAGGAAATGGGCCAGGTATGACAAAGAAGATAATAATCCTTTGAAATGCTCCTAAAAATATAATTAAAGCAAACAATTAAAGTTTTGCTATTTCAAGAGAAAAATAAAGGAGCTGCCTGGGAAGGCTCTGGTCTGCCTCAGTAGTCTGCAGGGGAACACCCCGTGATGGAGGGGCACTGGAGTCAGGAGACCATGAATGAGGGGAAAGGGGAACAGGCCTACTTTTAGCTCTGAGAGAGATA